AGGATACTCTGGGGCTACGTCTACACTGGCATGAATTTCCGAAAATACTTTTAACGGAAAAGACTTTTGCCCAAACGGGAGCAGCATAGTTTTTCCGGAAAAGCACTGATAATTTTACATGAGATCATCAGTGCTTTTCCGGAAATTCAAGTGGCCAGTGTAGACAGCTGGCAAGTTTTTCAGGAAAAGCTGCTGATTTTCCGGAAAAACTTGCCAGTCTAGAGACAGCCTGGGAGTCTAAGTCTCCATTGAGCCATAGAACTCCTGCTTGGCTGTTGATTAATGCTGAAGATGCCTAAAACTCATTCAGCATCTAAACTGTTACCTCTGCACATATGTCCTGCAGTCTCACGCTAGACGTTTTTCTCCTGTCTGAACACGTGCACTACTTCCTTGAGATAGGTGGGAGATGAGGGTTTGGATATCTGAGCCCCAGTGAGAATCACAAACTGGGAAGGATAGGCATTTGGCAGTTTAGATCATACATGGAACCCCAAACAAACAGCTCAGAGGTGGGTGGGAAGAAGGAGCTCTTTAGCCAAGGGTTCTCAGCCAAGATGTGGAAGACCCCAGTTCAAGTGCTCCCTTGCCTTCCTTGTTCTCTCCGCAGGGTAGAACGAAGTTAAACAGTGAGCTTCAATGTCTCATGTGAGTTCCCTAACTATTAGGCTATAGTTAATCTCACATTCTGTGGAACAACTTCAACAGGAGACACTTCAAAAGGAAACCCTTTCTTGAGCATGTTCCCAGGGTTAGAGTACTCATCGGTGAGGTAGCAGATCCATGTTTAAATCCCTACTCTTCAAGTGGAGGTAAGACTTGAAATGGATCCCAGGTGAGTACCCTATCTCCTGGGCTAGAGGTTAAAAGGGAAGTCCTCCTGTTCACACCTGTGTTGTTTCAGGCTTGACAAACAGCTTAGGGAGCCTAGCACCTATCTGCCCTGTTAGGAGATGACTAGCACACTAAGGCGTCCATGTGCCAACTGGACTTAAGTGCCTATCTCAGAGAGGGGCAGGACTTAGCATGTCCCCTCTCTGGTTGGTGTCTACCACTGGTTCACTTAGGCGGCTCCCTGCCTAGTGTGCTCACTTTATGGATAACAGTGTAAGGCACCTATTATGACAGTTCTTGGGATACCCAGGACAATTAGTCAACTAGTTACCCCCTGTCTCCAGTGTGAGGCAGCCTTGCGTCTAGTAACTGGGTGTTAGTTCCCTAGTACCATCAGCCATTCAAGCACTCTCCTCCATATTATACCAGCCTTGTCTTTGCCTTGCAGGTTAATAAAAAGTGCACCCTAACTCCAGAGTCCTTTTGAATCATTCCCCTGTACTATCCAACCCATGACACTAGCCAGATTCTATGCACCCAAAATTGTAATGTATCCCAATGTACTAGTTTGACCAAGGGTGCTGGAAATAGGGGTACTGAAGGTGAAGTAGCACCTCCTGGCTTGAAATGGTTAACATCATATACAGGACTTCCCAGTTTAGTTCAAAGGCTTTAAGCGCCCTCATTATAAACATTATTCCAATGCCACTGATTTCATCTTCAACCCCTGCTCCTCTAAATCACACAGCACTTGCCAGCACTAATAATAAAAAAGTAGTTAATTATTTAAGAAAAAATAAAGATGCAACTAAGTGGTGAAAACAAGTGGTTATAATGCAAGACACAATGCTAAAATGCAAACTTGGGTCTACACTTTCAATAATTACCTCTGCTATATAACAAAGTTCAGTCCAATCTGGCTGGTTCCATGACAATTAAAAGCTACATGCTCATGAAAGATCCTCACTTGTTAAGGGGTTTCGTCAGTGAATGGATCTAGAGTGTGTTTTCCTACACCCTGTTACCCTGAAACAATATTTTTGTCTTTTTTCATAACCAAGGCAATCTCCTGTTCTCGCTAATATTCCTCTTCACCTCCAAATGGTTCTGATCATTTGCAATTGTATCTGATGGTTTTCCATTGAATGTTCTGGGAGGGGGCAAAGGTAGGCAATATAGCCTGGCATTACCTGGCCAGCTGGCTAGGGGGAGATGACAATTTCCTCTTATCTGAATGGGTCATCAGTGAGATTACCCCAGTGACAAGCCTTTACTTCAAGTCCATAAAATGTAATTTTAATATAAATACATCATTCCTTAAATATGACTTGGTCATATATTTCACAATGATTATGAAGTCTGACCACTTACAAGGATTCTATAGGCATCCTAAGTGTTACTCTTTATGGATAAATAGCTTGTAAAATTCATGCTTGGTGTAGTGAGTTTGTGAGGTCTGAGGTAAGAGTTCTGTACAAAGAACCAGGGGCCTCATTGTGAAGTGGTCTCTGTCACGCCGGTCTCCCCATTAATTGTATAGGAATGTAGGCATCTAACTCTAGTGTTGTCAAAATGAATGAAGCCACTTTAATGTCAGTTTATAAACCTTACCTCATCATTAATGTTAAGACCTCGACTATTTGCATGTTCTCTGTCACATCGGTGGAGTTTTTCATTGTAACCCATTGGCCTCTTAAAAATGGAATCATATGTGGAAACAATTCCTGTCTTAGGATAAAGAAAACATAATAACTTACAGTGTTATTCAACATCGTGAGGTATAAAATAATGTGATAGCACTATTAAACGGTGCATGTGAAGTACTGGATGCTGTGAAGAACATTGGTTATTAGCAACATTCAGGGTACTATTTTGAAAAATTCTGAACAATTGTTACAATTCTTTTATGGATTTGCCTAATTTGTGAAAATGTGAAACCAAAACAACTTGTACAGTACCTGAAAAAAATACTGCTAGACAATTTTCAGAGTATTTTATCTCCCTGTTTTTCACTTTGTAATTTACAGTAGCCACATGGTGCTTAAATCTGTTTCCTTCTTAAACTACTTTTCTACAAGAAACACATACACTTGATTAAAGAGACATTTTGACTGAAGAAAATGGAGAAAGAAAGGCAGTTTTGAAGTTCATTTTGAAAGAAATAGATATTGGAAGTACTCTGTGAATCAGCTTTTACCTTCAAGTTAATGCATATATTTGCACAGCTCAGTAACATACTGTATGAGTAATCTCTGGTTCCAATAATATGTATAAATGAACACTTACCACCCTTCAAAGAAACATAAAAATGACAGCGCTATTAAAACATCTTTTAATATTAAAATCTCAGAGCTCTATTTAGTGTCACCAGTGAATCCCAGTCTTGTATTCCTGGTATAGTCAAGACTCCAGCTGATTGCAGCACTAGTTTTCTATATACAAGAAATGAAGCCTTGAGTCCTTGAAATCCCTAAGTGCTAAAAAAATGCACAATTAGCTAGAGGCACAGTTAGCGGAGATTTATTATGGTCTTCAAATACTGAACCATGTATGTTTCAGAAAAAAATATTTGAAAGAAGAAAAGACCTTTTGCAATACATATCACTTATGAAAATCATCAAAGGCTCAGCACTTTGACTGGAGAAATTCTCAACCTAGCATCCTGCTCTTGTGACACGTGACCTAAAAATCTGAAAAAGTGAAATTTTCAAAACATCAACCTTCCTTTCTGGCTCAGCAATGATGCAGTAGTAATTAGACTAGAGATGTAAGAGACCAATTGACTAGTCAACTATCTGATAAGCAGAAGCTTATTGGATAGTTGATTAGTGATGTGACTAGTCACTTCCCTCCCCCCCCCCACCCTTAGAAAGAGATGGGGGGGGGGGAATGCAGAGGGAAACAGGAGCCAGCTTAAAAGCCGATTCTCCCCCAGCACTGTCTCCACGGGGGGCAGGGGAGGTAAAGGAAGCGCAGGGCCAGTGGGGGAGTCCCCGACTGGCCTCTCGCTCCCTGAGGGGCTTCCTTTTGAAATGTACAAGAGCCCTAATGGGCCTTTTGTATATTTCAAAAGGAAGCCCCATGCTCCCAGCAGGGCTCTTGCTACAGTCAAAAGCAGAGGCGTCCTTATAAACTAATTGAATAGTCTATTTAAATTCCATCGACTATTCAATTAGTTAATTAATCTAAATTTAACATCCCTAAATTAGACATGGAACACTTTTTGTAGGTAAATGTCAGTAAACATCAGTTTCAGTGTGTACATGCAACCTGACAATATAAGTTCCATCAATAATAACTGAAAATTACACAGTGGCAAAGAAAGAAAAGTGCTGCTTGAGAACTTTGCAGTTTGATTTAGGGATATTTAGTTTGTGTATTTTCATGTGTGCTATTGACAACTTGTGGGTTTAATGGTAGAAAGATGTCAATAAAGATAAATGTGATGCAGGTTTCCATGAGTTTATTTTTTGTGACACAAACCACATCAATCACTCTAGCCCTTGTAGAAGCCTGAAATAGTCCATGGGTTACATGAGAATTCCTTGCTAGGATGAGCAGTGGAATGAGGTAGGGATGCAAATCCAACACACAGAAATGCCAGCGCCCCTCATTGTCAAAGTGGTTCCTCAAAGCTTCACTGACATTGATAGCCACCCTATGGGCTCCTCTGACAGTATGAGTGTCTGGTTGTTCACACTGTGCATCCAGGCACTGCACCTTGTTGTTTCACTCATGGACAAACTCTTCACCCTACTCTCACACAAATTACGTAAGCAACAGCATACAGCCACCACCTTGGGGATATGAGCCTCCAAAAGGTCCAGTCTGCCTTAAAGACACCTCCATCTCACTTTCAATCTGCCGAAGGCACATTCAACAATCATGTAACATCAACTTAGCCTGTTGTTCAACAGCTCCTTAGTGCTATCCAGGTGGCCCATGTAAGGTTTCATGAGTAAGTCGTGTCACCTAGTATTCGCTATGGGCATATCCACAGTAATTTTCTGGCCTGGATAGAAAGTCCCAGCATGCAGCTTTCTGAACAGTCCACTCTTCCTGAATATACATGCATTGTGCACCTTTGTAGGCCACCCTGCATTTATGTCTGTGAAATGCCCATGGTGATCCACAAGCACCTGAAGCACCAAGGAGAAGTATCCCTTATAACTAATGTACTCTGAGGCAAGGTGGGTATCAATGAGAATATATGTGCCATCGATTGCCCCGTCACAGTCTGGAAAGCCCATGTCAGCAAAGCCAGCTACTATGTCATCTACATTTCCCAGAGTCACAATCCTATGCAGCAAAATGTGATTTATTGCCGGCACACTTGCATAAGTGCTACTCCAGTGGTAGATGTCCCTACTCCAGACTGATCTGCAACTGAACCATAGCAACTGAGAGTCCGCAGCCTCCACAAATTGATGGCAACATGCTTCTCTACAGAGAGAGCAGCTCTCGTTCTGGTGTCTTTGTGTGGCAGTTTCAGGGGCTAGCTCAGCACACAGCTGCAGAAAGGTTGCTTTATGTACCTGAAAATTCTGTACCCATTTGTCTTCACCTGCATGACAATGCGATTCCATCACTCAATGCTGATTTATCTAGCCTAAAAGCAACAGTCTACAGTGCACAGCTAATGTGTGACAGCCCAAAGCAAAGCTAAGTCAATGCTGTCCCTATCACATTGTAATCCACATCTGAGTCCTCTGCTGTCAATGGCATAAGTAGCTCTGCTGCAATTTCCTAAGCATGTTGAATACAACATGGGAGAGAACTGTGGGATCCATGGTTCGTAGCAAGGACTGTCATTCAAGTGGCATGAAAATGGAAGCAAAGAGAGATTGATGGGACATTTCTCACTTTCCCATAATGCATAGCACTACATTGCACATTCCCACAATGTGGATAAGTATCCCCCAGTCCTCTCCTCCCAGGTCATTTCCCAGTCAAGCACCCATCCTGTGGAGGGCACTTCTGGTGAGTTCACAATTTTTTTTCTTACTACACACAGGTTAAAGCAGTTGGGTGTGATGTGCAGAGTGCTCTGTGCCTACACAGTCCAGGGAGCCCAGAAAAGCTTGTTAACCTGTCTGGAGATGTCTGGAATCCTCCCTGCATATCTCCTTGAAACTCTCAGACAGGAACTCTTTGATCCTTCTCACAAGGTTTCTGAGAAGGCCAGCGTTACTCCATCTTCCATGGTTTGACAGCTTCCCACAGCAAGCCACCAGTCAGTGGTCTGGTGTCAATGAACCACAAAGCATGACAGAAGAAGGATAACGTTTCTGGCCACATTCAGTCAGCATCCACTCCCAATCACTCCATGTGGTTTGGAGAAGACTGATATCTCGCATGACAACCTGGGAGGAGGAGGAGGGGAAGCTATTAGCTGCTGCCTCTGCTGCTAGCATGGCTTTAGCCTCTAATGCTTTCTTCCTTCCCTCCTGGCCACAGGCTGCCCCTCTGGCATGACCAGACCCCATTCCTCCCCTGCCTGCTGCAGGCTCATGTAGGATGGGAAAGTAGCACTCTCCTGGGAAGCCATGTGTACCAGGAACAGAGGAAAGCTGCCCTCCCCCACTGGCATGACCAGACTGCAGCCTCCACCTCCTGATGGTGGGCTCCTGTGGGATGGGAAAATAGCACTGTCCTGGGAAGCCGTGTGTACTGGGCACAGAGGACCCCATCCCCCCATCCTCATCCCAATTTCAGAATCATACCCGGGCCAGGCCCCTCACCATGCCTGCCTACCTCCAAACAGTTTAAGTTCAAATGCTCCCCTGAGAACTTTGTGTGCCTGCTGCACAGTGACCACTTTAAAGCAAAACTTTGGCTTTGTACAGAACACATCTCCATTATCTTTACAGAGACCTTTGCTGTATGCTATCAGGGTTAACACAACGTATCTCAGAACATCACAGACATCTAGCAGAAATTGGATACCTTAGCTATGCCAAGTACAGATCCTTATTGAGATATTTTCTATAAGATTATGATCTGAAATATGCTTACAGGTTCAAAGGGAGAACAAAATTTGTCAGCTCGGTGTGTTTTGTTAAAATTCACTCCAACTCCCTGCGTGGCTTTGCACAAGTTACCTAACCTTTCTGCATTATTTTCCTCAATACCTTTCCTCCTCCCACAGCACTATAAATATTAATTATACTTTGCAAAGAACTTTGAAAATGAAAGGTGCTAAGAAAGCATTAAAGTGGACTTTCCAGCATAAAGGCAAAAGTGTGCCATTCTAACACAGTTGATTTATGTGCCTTTAAAATATTGACATCAACTTTCAGATAGTTGTGTTGTCATAAGAACGGCCATACTGGGTCAGACCCAAGATCTATTTAGCTCAGGATTCTGTCTTCTGACAGTGGCCCATGCCAAGTACCTCAAAGGGAACAAACAAAACAGGTAATCAAGTGATCCCTCCCTTCTCACCCATTCCCAACATCTAACAAAGACACACTAGGGAAAACATTCCTACCCTGCCTGCCCTCCTACCCTCCGCCCCAGGCTACTAGCCATTGTTGGACTTCTCCATGAATTTATCAAGTTCTTTTTCGAACCCTGTTGAAGTCCTGGTCTTCACAACATCCTCTGGCAAAGAGTTCCACAAGTTGACTATGCATTGCGGAAAGTCCTTCCTTTTATTCGTTTTAAACCCGCTACCTAGTCATTTCATTTGGTGCCTCCTATTTCTTCTCATGTCTATTGGGACTAAAATCAATCCATCCAAATCTGATTAGCAGCCTGTATATGCAAATACGTGTTCCTGGATTTAATTGGACTGCATAAAAGGCTGCCAAAAAGATGAAATTATACATACCCTTTATTAATTTGGCTAAGGCTCAGTAAATCCCAATGTAACCTGTTTTTCTGTAAATTATACCCTAAAGAGCAAACAGAGCTGAACATTCTGTTTGGTATTAATTATTTTACTTAGGGGAGATGATGGGTGCTGACTACTCAGGGGCCCGAGCTGTGCATATTTTAAGCAGAGGTTGAGATTTCAGGGTGGGATGGTGAGTCAAGAATGCATTTTCCTCTCCAGGTGAAATGTGCAAACGCCTATTTCCTTCCTTGCACTTCCGTGCGTGTGATACCCGCTGCCCCCTGCAGTAGCCTCTTCGTTTTCGCTCCTCTGCCCCTTCTTTTCCCATCCCTCCGATTTTCATTCCCTCTCCCCGCCCCACGCCGCTCTGTCCTCCCCACGCCCTGCCCTGCTCTCCCGACTGCTCCCCCACACCTTGACTGCCTGGTGGAAGTAGCTGTGCTCCGGGGGGTCCCTGCGGCTGGGGGGGATGAAG